TTTTTTTTTGCAGAATCGGGAATTGAACTCAGTTCCTTGCGTTTGCCAGTCAAGCGCTTATCCTACTGAGCCATCTCCCCAGCCCCATCTCTAGTTATTTTTAACATCAAATATAATGTAGAGGCAAGATAAATTGTTGTTCTACTATGTGCAGTATAGGATAATGACAAGTGAAAAAGGATTATGTACATTCAGTATAGAACACATTTTTTCCAAGTGGTTTCTATCCATGGTTGAATCTTGCAGAGTGGAAGCCACGGCCAGGTAGAAAAGAGCAACCGTGTTTTTGAAAGTCACTGAAACATTTAAATGGGTTTTAGAGGTTCAGGGAGGAGCTAGTTTCCTTTGGTACTGACCAGGCCCCTGAATTGTGGTGACTAGCAAGATGCCATTAGCTCCTGGAAAGTATCTTCAAGGTAAATTCATCCCAAAAAGGAGGTAGAGAGAAACATCGGCACATAGGACTGTAGTAATGACAGGGTGAAATAGACAATGGAAAAACAAAAGGAAATGTTGATTCCAGACCACAGAATAGACTCTAGGAAGGAAAACATTTCCTGTGAAGCAAATTCCAAAATGAATTTTATTTTGCAAATTTGGCCTTAGTAGCGAGAGTACTAAGTACCCAGACAAATTGGCTGATGGGAATGTGTTGGAACATTTCTGTAATCTGTGTCTTGGTCATTTTCTTCCTCTGTGGGACAAAATACCTGACACAATTTAAAGGAGAGGTTTATTGTGCAGGACCACCTGAGCAGCTCTCCTTGAAAGAAGAGCGATCGTCTTCATTTTGGCTGAGCCTGACCCTATTTCCTTGTATTGATATGTACAGAGCTGGCTAGGACTTCTCTTTATCCTTTCAAATGGCCTTAAGCAATGTATATGGGCCTAGCCCAGGTGCTGATGGTAATTTCTGAAGACAGCACACATGTTATCCTGATAACCCACACCTGCTGCTCTTTAAGATGAGCTGAGCAGAGAAAGGACAAAGAGCCAGTGCTCCACACTGTCAGCTAGCATTGAACCTGGAGATAGAGGCTATGACTTCCTGGGGCTTGAAATATTACATATCAGAGCTGAAGCACCAAGACCCCTGAAATATTAGATACCATCTCAATAGCATAATGCAGATTACTTTCTCTGCATATCCTTCCCTCTGCATATGACAGAGGCAAATGCAGGCCACTGACCTAGCCCAGCTCACAGAACTCACCTACTTCCCACCATTCTCTTCCTCAAGCCACTCCTCCTTCTTGGCTGCATAAAACCTGGGTGAAGACCTGGGTCAGTCTCTTTGTTCCAGAAAGCCATCTTCATGTCTGGACTTAGGGTCCCTTGGCTCTCCAATAATAATATATATAATATAGTGTCTTTATTTTCGCCATGGGTTGCACTGGGAGTGGTAGATTGGAATTAACTTGGTGGGATTCTAGTAATGTATTTTTGGGATTATAAATAACACTTATTGGACCGAGATGTGAACCAGGAAAAGACTCCTACAGTTTACTTCGGCTCACCAGTTTAGAAGTGCCAGTCCTTGGTCAGCTGGTTCCAACACACAAACTGCATGGTGGAAGGGCCAGGGGGAAGAAAGCTGCTCACACCAGGGCAGCCAGGAGGCAGAGAAAGAGGAGCAGCAGGGGAGGGAGCTGCTCTCTTCCAGGTCATGCCAGGATGTGCCTCTAGTCAGGCTGACCCAACAGCACACTCAACTGCTGAACTCATCAGTGCATAAATTATTCATCACCATAGCACCCCCCAAATTCAGTCACCTCCTCAAAGCCATGTCTCTGCACTAGTGTGACAGTCTGGGGAGACAACCTAAATCTAAGTCATCAATAGCAAACTATAATTTCTCCAGAAAGCTTTCTGGGAACTTTTATTCGTATTCCACAGTTTCAACAAATAGTGATTCAATATCACTTTTTTTTTTTTTTTGACACCAGTGAAATTTATTTCTATCTTTATGTTTTTAACTTTTTTCACATAGGCTTGAAATTATTTGAAGACAATGAACAAGCTTTTTTTCTTTCTTCTTCTCTGGTTAGCTCTATTCCAGGATTACATTCTTCCCACTGAGAAATGATGACATGGGGGAGAATAACACATTCTTATTCAATTTTATTTCATTATTTATTTATTTATCTATTTTGAAGTGCATTGATTTAGAGAATTTATTTGGGAGTTTGCAAGAAAACTTCTTGAAGACCACCAGTTTAGGATGCATGTGATAATATATGTTTTTAGGCTTTTTTCTTTCCACAACAAAATGATCCTTTATACTTTTGCAAAGTTAGTAACATGTGACACATGGTTGCCTAGCAACTAACAGCTGACCTGAACCAGACAGGATGTTTATCTGAGGACTGAGGTAGCTTCTTTGCTTTAGGCACTGAGGCCTAGTACCACTGAAACACATTTGATCCATTTCCTAGCTTCGTGGCTCCCAAAATATTCCTCTTTTTTGTTTCATTTTGTCAGAGATGGGGTTTTACTGCAGGCAGAGAAGCAGTACTTAGAGAGTTCTTTAAAGGTCATTTTCTTTTTTTATTTTTATTCATTTTAATGTGAAAAAAGATAAAATAGCAATGAAACAGTTTCAAAACAGCTTAGGAGGATGGTTACAATAATTAATACATTGCATATTGTTGTTTTTATAGTAGTTATTCAGAAGACAAGATGTAGACATGATATCTTGTCTAAATAATATTAGTACAAACCTTTCTTCTCAGTAAACTAAGAGAAACTAACTATATATCTGTCCTATCTTGTGTATACATAGATATATTTTTTTTCTTTTTGTTTTTCTTTTTTCACAACAAAACAGTCCTTTATTTACACTTTTGCAAAGTTAGTAACACATGACACCAGGTTGCCTAGGGACTAATAGCTGAACTCAATCAGACAGGATGTTTATCATAGGACAGAGGTAGCTTGTTTGCTTTAGGCACTGAGGTCTAGTCCTGCCTACACACATTTGATTTCTTTCCTACCTTCCCTGGCTCCCAACATATCCCCCTTTTTTGTGTTTTGTTTTGTCAGAGATGGGTGTTCCATTGCAGTTGGAGGTGCTGTATTTGGAGAAGTCTTTAAAGGACCTTTTCATATTTGAAGCTAGTCCAAAGATTGTAGGTACTTGAATTCAGCAAAATAACCCAATGTAGTCCAATAGTCCATAATAGTAGTGGGTTATCAGCACAAATGGCAATTGTTAGAAGTTGTTGCCTTGAGCCTTTCATAGCTCAGCATATCAATATGGTATTACTTTTTATATACCAAGTTATACTTTTCTGCTGAATGGTTAAGACCAAGTTAAAGCACGACCTATATAACTAAAAATGTAACTTTTAATATCTGACAAGGTCAGTCAAATTTCCTCAGGATTTACTCTGGAACCATGTTCAGGACCTTGTAGATCTTTGGTCAGTGTCAGCCATCTGTATGAGTCACGGCCATTGCTTGACCACTTTGCTCTCTGTGAAAGCCTGAGGGAATTTTTTCTCTCTAGGTGCCTACACTGTTAGAGCAATCCACTGCAAGCTGGGAGCATTTTCCTTAACAGAGAGCTCTCCAGTGGAGAGACTATCAGAGCCCTGTCTCAGTTGGGAAAGGGCACTTCTCCCACTTCAGCTGGCTGTAGCCTTCTTATTTAAGAAAAGGGGAAAATAAAAAACACATGCAAATATGGAGGTGACAGCCCAGGGACACAGTCCAACTAAAATACCAGGACTTAATCATCAGGTTATATAAGCCTCTCTTCTACCACACCCAGGACTACACCAGCACGCTCCAGTATAACAGCGGATTGCTCTAACAGTGTGGCTATCCTTAACATTTCTTTTTGATTCTCTCCCAGGAAATGAAGAGCTTCAGACTACATAAGAGTACTGACCAAAACCTGAAGTTGACAGGTGAGAAAAAAGTAAGGATATTAGAGGAACTTGGATTCTTTGGCACATGCACTTACAGTAAGACTCAAACAGCCCAATTTCTAGTGAGAAAAAAGAACCTCACCCTAAGTTTCTATTATCTCAACTTTTATTACCTAACACATCATGGCTGGTTTTTAAAATGAAAAAAAATCTACACATGGTAAAAGAAAAGCAAAACCAAAATACTTGATTTAGAAATCACATCGATTTTGTAATTACCACACAGATAACTTAAAGCAACTACAATTAGTATGTTGAGCGTGTCAGGAATAAAAGTAAAAAACACACAGTAACAACTGCTGGCTGATATGAGCCGATGGATGGAAACTCTAAGAATGAATGAAAAGCAAATGGAGGACGTGAAAAACACTGAAACAGAAGCACAGACACCTCTGAAGGGCTCATCAGTAGACTGGATATGGCCAAGGACAGAATCAGTGAGCTTGAATTGTCAACAGTAGCATCCCAAACTGAAATCAAAGATGGAAAAAGTGAATAACATGAAACAAAACATCTAACAACTGTAGGGCAATTTCGAAAGCTATAAATACGCATGATTGGAATACCAGAAGTGGTAAAAAAAAAAAAAATCAGAAAAAGAACAAAGCAGGGGAAATACTTAAAGTATTATAGCAGAAAAATTTCCAAAATTAATGACAGGAACAAAGCCACACATTCAAAAAAGCACAGAGATTACCAACTTGATAAAATCTACCCAAACTCTGTACATAGGCATATCATGTCATGCTTTACAGACAGAGAAGGAATGAAATAGCAAGATGAAAACAAATCAGATTAATTCTCTTTGTTTCTTTTCTTTTGCTGAGGTACCTCCGCCTCAGCCCTTTTTACAAATTAAAAAAAAGTATGTGACAGGATCTCACCAAATCATTAAATTGCCCAGGCTGGGATCAAACTGATTGATTATTTCAGTTATTTTTCCTGTAAGGCGGAGATAAGGAGACGATAATAGAAAAATCGCTGATTGGTTAACATGGAATTTCTTCAGGTCACTTCTTTTCTATGTGTGAAGATTAAAGCAGAGGTGGGTATATTATCAGACTAATTGAAACTAGCCTATTGGAGAAATGTGTCTACCACCTCTCTAGTCCTAATTTACTGGAAGGTCAGCTAGCAGCTTGGTCCGGGATTGGTGCCATGTAACTTTAGTTTTATGATCTCATTCTGACTTTTAGCCTGGGATGCCAGAGCCCTAGTCAGGAGCTTAGCCCAAAGCAATGGCTTCTCCTACAATACTTATTTAACATTAGACAAAAAAAAAAAAATACTGCTACTGAACAGAAAATACTAATGAATAGCTAAGCATGCTGAGGTGGAGTATTGGCAAATATTGCTGCTGAAATGCCACCCACCCCTGTAAGTGCCCGTCATCCAGCCCATCCAGAAGTGGGATTTATTTGCTTTCCTCATGACTCTAAGCTGTATTCCTGACTTGGTTTGGTCAACAGAATGTGGTAGAGGCGATGATGCTCCTGGTTCCCGACGTAGGTCTTGGAAGAAGCAACAACTTCTATATTCAGTTGGAAACGAACCACCAAGTACAGATACTTGTCAAAGAAAATCTTACACCAGAAACTAAAGGGCTTCAGTTTACAGCCAACACAAGTCTGAACAAAGCTTTCCTGGTTGTTCTTATTCCTGCCAAGCTCTGAAACTGAAAGTGTCCCCTGTGTGAGTGACACTAGCTTGTACTACATGGACAGAAGAAACACGCAGTTGAGTCCAGCTAATAGTCACCAGGTTTGGGGTTAATTTGCAATGCAGCAATAAATCATTAAAATTTAAGAAAAAAGAGAAAGGAATCACGTATCATAACCACAACTAAGGAGTCAGGAAAAGAGACAATAGAACAAATGCAATAAATAGGATAGGTACAAACAGGCTAGATAAACATGGAAGCATATCAGTAGTTGTTTACACTGTAACAGACTGAATAAAATTAGAAGACAAAGAACAAGAAAAAATAACTCAGGCCTACTAAAAAGCAAAGAGGTGGTGAAAGGCATATTATGCTAACACTAACTTTTTAAAAAAGCTAGAGTAGTCATATTAATTTTACACGAAACAGTGTAGTTTGCTTTCTGTTGCTATAGTTAATACTTAGGCATATCTTAGGATAGATAATGTATAAAGAAAAGAAATTTATTTTTGATGGCTCTAGAAGCTTGGAAGTCCAAGGTCAAAGGGCTGCAACTGGTGAGGACATTCTTGTTAGTGACAACTCTGAAGAATTCCAAGATAGTGAGGTCACAGAGCCAAAATGGCTTTTGAAATAGACCCAATCTCTAGATATCCCACTAGCTCATTAATCTGGTAATTTGTGAATGCAATAATCTACTTCTGAGGGCAGAGCCCTTATGAACCAGTCAACTCCTGAAGCTTCCTCTTATTTCCCAACTCTTCATACCCCACCGTGGGGATTAAGGGTCAACAACACTTTTGGTGGGGCCATTCAAACGTGGCATCAGACCTTAGAGCAAGGAAAATTACCAGAGAGAACAAAGGACATGGCACAGGATCAAAACAAGGCTTGAAGTTTCTAAGCAGCCATTGAAAGGGAAGGAACTGCGGGTGTGTGTGTGTGTGTGTGTGTGTGTGCGTGTGTGTGCGTGTGAGTGAACGCGGGTGTGTGGACAAGGAGGTGGGGACAGACGAGTTAAGAGTCCCAACTCCTTGGGCTCAATTTGCTATTCTTTTCTTTCTCCCCCACTCCTATCTGGTGGTAGTGGGCATTTATCTTGGCGATTCTTTTCATTCATTTCCAAATTTTCAAAAATTTTCGGGTTGGGGGTAGTGGGAAGAGCAGAAAATAAGAAAGAAGGAGAGTAGTGGCAGAAGAGCATGAGGAGGACATGGAGATGAAGATCAAGCCGGAGTTAAGAAACAGAGCCCCAGAGGAGGTGACAGAATTGGTTCTTGATAATTGCCCATGTGTCTTTGGGGAAATCGAGGGCCTGAATGACACTTTTAAAGAACTAGAATTTCTGAGTATGGCTAGCATGGCATACGTTCGCTGGCCCAGCTTCCCAGCCTAAACAAACTTCAGAAGTTGGAACTTCCTGACAATGCAATTTCTGGAGACTTGGAAGTTTTAGCAGAGAAATGCCCAAATCTTACCTACCCTAATCTGAGTGGAAACAAAATCAAAGATCAGAGTATAGTAGAAGCTCTGCAAAATCTTAAAAGTTTGAAAAGTCTGGATTTTTTTTAACTGTGAGATCACAAACCTGGAAGATTCCCGAGAAAGTATTTTTGAACTGCTGCAGCAAATCCCATACTTGGATGGATATGATCAAGAAGATAATGAAGCACCAGACTCAGAAGAGGAGGAGGAAGAAGAAGAAGAAGATGAGGAAGATGAAGCTGGTCTCCCTGAGTGGGGTGGAGAGGAAGACGAGGAAGACGAGGACGAGGACGAGGAGGAGGAAGAAGAGGCCGGCTCGGAACTGGGGGAGGGAGAAGTAGGCCTGTCGTACTTGATGAAAGAGGAAATTCAGGATGAAGAAGATGATGGTGACTATGTTGACGAAGGAGAAGAGGAGGAAGAGGAAGAAGAAGGTCTCTGGGAGGAGAAGAGAAAACGAGAAGCTGAGGATGACGGTGAGGAAGGAGACGACTAGGTTGCTCGGTGCCCGCAGCCCGGGGCCGCGCTTGCTGATGCTCTGGGTGGGCAGGGACACGAGCGCATCTCTGTTTCCCCCGGAGGATAGCTCTTCCTGCAGGAGATGAGGTGTAACTTCTTATAGGAAAAGTGTGGTTTTACTATTTTTGCCTTATCATTCCAATTAAGATTTACTAGTCTGTTAAAGATCAGATTGTATGTAGAGAAAAATTTCCCTTGGCCCCTCCCGCCATTGTGAAATTCTCTAGCAATTTATTTAGAATCTTAATTTTTCTAATTCAAGCACCCTGTATTAGTAACTTTTAGCCCATAATTAAATAAGATTATTTTCACATAGGTGTAGTTTGGTGTATTTCATTCATTAGGTTTTAACGTTATTTATAAATTAGCTGAAACTACAGTCAACTGTAATATGAAATGACAATAGTCTCTTGAATGATAAGTTGATTATCATTCTATTTTTTTAGAAATGATTCAGAGAGCTTTAGTTTGAGGGCAGTGACTTTTTGGAAGGGTACTGGATGCTCATTACATGAGTTCTGTTGAAAAGCAGAGGCAA